CAAAGCGCTGTTGAGCCCAGGGAAATATGGAGCATGGATGAGCTCATGGAAACCGAGATGTCCAACTGCCAAACTAGGATACCTATCAAGGATTGAGACGGCGACCAGATGGATGGGCTCTATCAACATGAGCACCCAATGGGCAATGTTTGGCGCGAATCCCCCACTTTGCAGACTTATCAGGTCCATCGGAGCTGAATCTGGTGGTGGTCGGGATGTCCGGAGGTGTTGTAACATGATCATTGGACATGGATACGGCTACTCGCATATCGTCTCGGAGATGGTAGGTTGGAGAGTGAAGTTCACGGCATGAGCAATAAATCAGGAACCGTTCCGACGGTACCGGGAGCTACCGTCAGATCAAAGCTTATTTGCGGAATAGCCCCCAACGCATTGGACCTCGCATGTGGTGACACCACATAACACATGAGATGGAAGCATGGAAACACGATGCATAGCTGGAGAAGGGATCAAACTGTACCTGTCAAAGCTATTCCAAGTTTAACTACAAGGATATCTGGCAACGGCTTCACACTTTCCTTTCCGTCAATGGATTATCTTTGTCGCACGGGTAGATAGCTTCGCCTCGCTCCTCACGGGAACATGGCCAAGTGAAACCAAGAACTTTATCGCCTACTGTTGCCAGCCTCTGAACGCAATGCAGACATTCATCAATTTTCAGCCCAGCCACTGTTTTCGGGAAAAGGAATTGCCATTCCTCAGCACTCTTCTTGGAGCCGCCAATCGCTTGGTTACGACGCGCACTTCCCCACACTTTTACCGAATTCTCCAACCACCTTCGCAGTGCTCGCATCTACTGCAGCACCAACTCGTCCAATTGGTAGCCAGAACGGCACGAAACCGCCGATCATGTAAACAGATGCCCATTTCCGAACGCGCCAGAACCAAAACAAAAGTCCTGGGCATGAGACCAACCATTGACACGTACAACTCGCCCACCTTCAACGTGATTCTATGGAAATTGAGTGGGTCCGGTCTTGGTATATACTAATGCATGCAGTCTGCAAAGTACATGTAGCCATCCAAGCTCGAAACCTTCAACAAAGTGCTTCCTACCGTTAATTTGTCACGAGTTCCCAGCTGAAGATCTGCAATGTGTGCATCGTGCTTGCAGCCTGCATTCACATGCTTGAGGATGAACACAGCCGAATTGGAGGAACCATCGGTGCCAACAACTACTGAATAGTGAATGTCGACAGGTGTTAGTCTCGAAGAAGATGATTTTATCGATTCAAGTCGGCGATTCCTTTGAGAGAGCATAAGTGGCGCTCGAGGATCGGCTCCATTACGGATTGCACGACTGTGGGACTGGAAAATCTACCTCCAAATCTGCGGGCATCATCACATGTACCCCGCAACAGAGCAACCTATACATTGTCGCTCGCCCGCTAGAGAGCTTCGTGCCAACTTCAAAAGACACGTTCGAGTGCGTTTTTGGTATGGCGCGCATTGGTAGCGTTGCATGTCTCCAAATCCATTGCATACATTTGCGTACATTTGCGTCCAATGGCGAAAATCGAGGAGAGCACAATGTTTGGCTACATGGAGGCGATCGAACATATGAACTACCTCATTAGATCTGGTCCAGTAATGCCAGATGTGGAGGCTATCGTCTAGATGCAGAAAGACGAAAGTCCAACACTGCAATAAATGCACTCTTAATAACCTTGAATGTGGGGCAAAGATGATCGTGTAGAACCAGTTGATCTCATAAGCTAATAATGGTTGAGTGTTCAAAGACGATACTGGACCGCAAGCGTGTGCCGGGCACTTATTTGTAAAATAATTACTGTAGAATGACGCAGCAGCTTTGATACATTCGGGAGTAGAAACTGCGAAAGTGCCTAATGACTAGTGTTTTATTGGAGCTGTTGCATCCACCAGTAACCTGAGAAATAAATGCCCAATGTCTGCATTAGTTAGATACCCCAACCCTGAGAGTGTGTTTCTGCTTTGGACACGACTAGCTATGGATTTTACGTTAGAGCTAAAAAAGAAATACACCATAAGTTTTAACTTCAAAAACATGCACCAATGAGCGACGTATGTCTTCATCCGTCATCACGATATATGCACCTTCAGGAGTCTATACACAAGAATCTATTGGTTGTACTTCTCAGTCTGCAAGAATGTGGTTAGCGCTTTGCAGTGTGATAAACTTCAAGACATACCTCGGATTTGGCCCGGCACGAATGAACCATGAAGCTGTTGAAATAACAATTTCAAGTTCCTTGTGCATATAGAATATTCTCCAAGGTACTTGGAATATCGGAAGAAATCTTAGGACCACCAATAGAAGTCGTACCATGCATACACGTGACGTAAATTTTTGGATCGCGAGGTTTTCTCAATCTTCTTCAACTGTTGGGATTAACCATTTGTATAGGAAGTAAATTAGACACGTGAAATCATCCTATGGAGTGAATTTGGATGGGACTTTATTTGACTCACTGGTTACTTTTCAATTCTTGACCCATAATCGCGATCTTATCAGTGACCTGAATGTCATTTCACTACTTATGCAACAGATTTGGATACAATCAATTTGCTACGGTACTGACAGAATGTTAAAGGGAGCAGTATGCGCACGTGGTACGGACACAGCGTTTCTGCTACCATTGAAACAATAATGGCACATATTCGCCTATTCAGATTTTATTCGGATCATTAGTGTGCAATTTCAATATCTAAGCAGTGGAAATAAGCGACGAGATCAAGATTCCCTGCATACTATGTTTATTTCCATCAGGCCCCCCTCGGACATTATTGCAACCGACATTGAATGCTGGAACTTCAAAGCATGGACGATGGTGGCGCGGCGTTGGGATTATCATCACTGCCCTTCCACATTGGGACTAGCGAACCATCGACCCAATCACAAGGCTGTTTTCTGGTCGCTTTGACCAGCCACAGCCACCCAACTCCATCCTTTAACACTGTCATTCACGACAGAACGGCCTTGTCATTTTACAAGAAACTGGTTTCGTTTAGTGAAGGCCTGCAGGGCGTAGCAATGGCGAGGGCCCAACCTCATAGGGTTCGTAATGCGAGGCTGCGCAACGCCCGATGATGCCTTCCAAAATTTAGCAATGTCGGAGTACGGAAGTACTTAAGATGTTCATTGTATTAACAGTTTAGACTCATCAGCATACTACTCTAGCATTATATTTTTCTTTGAAGTCAAACATAATCAATAATAACCATTCATGGAGCATTTTTCATTTCCACGCTCGCTCTCAGCGTTCGCTGTCCTATCTCTTTTTTCTTCCACCTTTGCTGCGCCTACTCTAGACTCTCGAGACATTCAAAACTGCAACAGCACAAACCCTTCTCTCAATATCACAATCTCCAGCATCAAATTCTCGTCATGTCCCGTAGAGCTCGAGCTGCCATCGAGTATGGAATGCGGCACTCTTTCGGTCCCAATCGACTGGGATGATCCGAAAGGCCAACATTTTAATCTTGGTATCACTCGACTTCCTGCTCAAGGCAACAAGACAGACAAAATCGGCTCACTGTTCATAAATCCTGGCGGACCTGGTGCTCCATCTTCTCAGCTAGTCAAATGGGTTGCCGACAATGCAAAAGCAGTCTCAGATCTTGTAAACGTCTTCGACATCATCGGCCTAGATCCTCGCGGCACTGGCCTCAGTAACCAGATCAAATGTAATCAGACCATATATGCAGAGCGCGTCTCCATCTTCCCTAAGACTCAGGAAGAATACGACAAGCTCGTAGACAAAAGCAAACGATGGGGGAAATCTTGCCTAGAACTCACAGGTCCGCTGCTCCAACACGTCGACACCATCAGCGCAGCCAAGGTATGCATCACCTAATCCCATCCATATCAATATGTATTCACTAACCCAACCCCAGGACCACGAAGCTGTCCGCATAGCCCTAGGCAACGAACCGCTAAACTTCCTTGGCCTTTCCTACGGCTCCCAACTTGGCGCTCAATACGCCGCACTCTTCCCCTCCCAAATCCGCACTCTTGTCCTAGACGGCATAGTCCAACACTCGCAATCCGAAGCCTCCAACATCCTCACCGAAACAACCTCCTACGCCCTCTCCCTTTCCCACTTCTTCACTTGGGCCTCCAAAAGTAACCTCTCCGCCTTATCCACCCAGCCCCAATCCCTCCTCAACTTCTGGGAAACCCTCCTAACCAACGCATCCCAAACCCCCATCCCCGCCAAATCCTGCAAAGGCACCCTCTGCGCCCGCGACGTAACAGCAGAAGAAATCCTCTTCAATGTCCAACCCAAACTCTCCAGTACAGAAAAATGGCCCGCACTCGCAGCCGCTCTATATAACGCTTCGCGCGGCGATGCCTCTACTCTTTCCACCCGCTTCGACGACGCCGAAATCCCAACGGGAATCGCAATCGGCTGTCTAGACTGGACGCACGATTCCTCCCTTACCCTCTCCTCCCTGCGCGCAAAGAAACAAATGGCAGACTCCTACTCCCCGCTCACACTTGGTGCCTCCCAATCCTGGACCGCGCAACACGCTTGCATAGGCTGGCCGATCCCTGTCAAGAATCCCCCGCAAAAACTCGACGTCCAGACTGATGCGACGATCCTGATGGTGGCGAGCACGGCGGATCCGAGTACAGGATATGCGTGGGCGGTAGGGATGATGGAGGAGATTGGAAATAAGGTGTTGGTTACGAGGAGGGGAGAGGGACATACGAGTACGTTGGCGAGGGGGAGAACCAGGGAGGTTGTTTTTGAGTATTTGATTACTGGGAAGGCACCAGGGGAGGGGATGGTTCTAGATGATTAGAGGGGATGTTGGATAATGGGTGTGGTATTGGCATTGTAATTGTAGAATTATAGAATAAAATAATACTCATATTAGTTCAGCATACAAACTCCCTCTTCATACCCCCCAAAAAAATTCCATACCCTTTCCCTAGACATTACCCCCCTTGTCTACCCATCTAGGCCAAAAAGATGCAAAAAAACAAAAAATATTGACACGAGTGAGGTTCGAACTCACGCGGATTGCTCCAGTAGAGATCTGAGTATTGCAATTGCTGACAAACTTAAATCTACCGCCTTAGACCACTCGGCCATCGTGTCGAGTGCATATTCTCTTTCTTAGAGGTAGTAAAATGATATTGATGATAAACAGGCCAAGGTGTTTGAGGCACAGGATGAGTGGAAGGGTTAAGAAGGGGGCTATGCTGGTGACGATGCGGGGCAGGGAGCCTAGGATTAGTGTGTAGTTAGATGAGGGGCTGAGCTGGGCTTGGCGGTGGAAGCGTGGTTGGTTTGGGAGTCAAGGGGAGGGGATGAGATGCATGGATCCGGCTTTCAGGAGGCAGGAAAACAGTGCACGATTATATGTCCAGAGGCGTTTCATCATGATTTATGTCCGCTCTCCAGTTCACAAGGAACACGGCAATATTCTACATACACAATACCAGAGCGTGCGTCGATGACGATCTGAGACATGTTCGCCTATCGCGACTAGCGTATTGCATACAAATATTGATAATACTTGAAAAGTTGTACACCTGTGTAGACAAGAGCACGCAGGCGAATAGGAGACTGTATGCATGGAAGATCATAGATATATAACTATATACATCAATACAGGACCTTCATCTTGCAGAGCCAAGAACCACCGAATCCAAGTATCTTCAGATCGATAGTTCCAGCTATCAGGGTATATATAACAACACCTCTCTCCATCTCCATTCCTCTCCTCTGAATCAGAACACCGCCCCCCCAATAATAAAACACCTCTCCTCCTCTCTCCTAACCCACTGCACAACTCTGTTCGCCGCACTCGCCATTGCGCCCCGACTCGTGCTCGCCGGCGCCACGGCATACAACTCAAACAGCGGCGTACTCCACGCCAGCGCAATGTTCGTCGCCGAAGTCTCGTGGTGGATCTTCAGTGATGTTGGTTTCGCGTGCAGCGAGGAGTGCAGGTGGGCGTAGAGTAGGAGGAGGCTGAGGGGGCGTTAGCAAATAGAAACAATTGATTGCGGATGGGTTTCATGGAAGAATTTAATGAAGGCTAGGGAATTGATCAAACTCACCGTCTCCTCTCCCAGCTATCCCCAAAATACGGTTCAAATGCTGGCATGACGAACTGCACATTTCCCCTGCTCTTATAGAGAAAATGGCGCAAGGGCGTGCCTGGAACGATGTCTGTGCATCGCGGTCGACCTAGTTTGACGGCAGCGCGGATCGCGGATATGCTGCCGTTTTTTTGGAGTTGCTGGATGGGGAAGGGGATGCGTTAGTGAGAACTGAAAGGAGTGAGGGAAGTGTGAGGGGATGGGTAAGGTGCAGGGGTAGGTAGGTAGGTAGGTGGGAATAGAAAAGAGGGAAAAGGTATTAGGGAGGGAAGTACGATGAATACAAAAACAACATGAATCGTATGCTCTAGCCTTCATGCGGGGGGGAATCAAAACTGGGTGCCTGGACTTTGCGTCTTTTTCCCCCCATGTAACATCCCATCACTTGCTTAATTCCATGTCTTTCCTCCGTCCAGCTCCGTGGAGGTTGGACTGATGCTCCGTCGTTTGTCTGCGTGGCTCCGTAGGATTTGGGGCACGAACGGCGTGTCGGACATTTGACAATTCCGACTCCGCGACCCGACCGGAGCCGAGCAGAGCATTGGACGCGTATTGTACGAAAGACAGCTCGGATGCGGAGTGCATGCGTGGGGCACATAAGAACGAATAGAAAACCTGAAATGACAGGACAGGGAGGAAACGAAAACACACTCGCGTAAAGAAATATGAGGAGTAGGCAAGGAATTGAGAAGGAAGGGGCCACGTACCTCGACGAGTTTATCCCGCATCTCGCGCAGTTCGAAAAAGCCCTCTTTAGACGCACTGATCAATAGGACGGCGACTTCGTCTTCGACCATCGAGCCCCGGCTCATGGGTCGCTCGTCCACGACTGAGCCCGCTCGTTCGAGATCCAGGAAGCTCACATACATGTACAGAAACCCAGTATTGTTAAAACCAGGCAGGCACACGGGTATCCAGTTCTCGCCACCCCCGGCTTTGACGCTACCGGCTTCGAACAGCATGTTGAAGATCAGGTGCAGGTCCCCGGGGTGGAGTGAGTGCTTTTTGGGCCGGACGACGGAAACGAGGCGTCCGGATGCGACGATGAGGCCATAGAGGAGATTTGGTGAGCGATTGGCGAGGAGGGTTTTATTGATGGTAGCACGATGTGTTTTGCGTAGCTTGAGGCACTCAAGTGCTGAGAGGAGCGTTGATGGCGAGCCTCGAGTAAATCCATCTGAGAGCGCAGATATGAGGGTCTCGGTGCCTTGGAGTGGTCTGCGGAGATCGTAGTTCGCACGCCCGGCGAACATCCGCGTCAAGGTAGGTAGAGTGAGAGTGCTTAGAATTTGAGTATAAAGAGCGTCAAGCTGCGCGCGCAGCTGAGCATCACTTTCGGGGAGGCGTGAGATGGCCACGAGGTTCAGAGGTCCCTTTGAGGATATAACAAAACGCACGTTGCCCGCTGTGAAAGACTTGAGATTGTCGTCGTGTGACTGGTGGAAGGAAATGATGGTTTGGATGACGCCAATATAGTTGGACACGACTTGGTCGTCACCATGGCGGCTGTAGATTGGCTTCCCTGCGGATGAGAGGATGAGGAAATGTTTCAGTTTGGAGCGCCATTGGATCATAATTTTCTCTATTCAAGGCTTCATCAGCTATAGTTCTAATCCTACATACGAGCAATAGATCCTGACCTTCGTTAGACCCGTCTGCCGCCATATCTTCGATTTCGTCAAACTCGTCCGCAAATGTTTGCTCAAAATCTGGGTCTGGTGGAAACATGCTCTCTGATTCCTGGTCTGAGAATTTATGGCCCAATGTCCGTAGTACCGATTTCTCTTCCTGTCCGATCCCGTCTCCAACAACACTTTCCGCTTCTCCAACCTCGATCGTCGGGGCGACACTTCTTATGCTCATGCTGTCGTCGGCATCACTGGCGGCATTATTGAGATTCAGCCCGAAGAAGTTCCTTGCTCGTGACGCGCCTGACGAAGGAGAATCGTCCCTTGGCTCTGGATTTCGGAGTTGTGTGTTTGTATACGACAATTGTGTGGTTGCTTTCGAAACGAGTTGTGGTCTTGCGGGACTAGCTGAGTAAGAAGAGTAGGTAGAATAGGACGTAGAGGGGCGCGAATCGAGGAAAGCGATGTTTTTAGGACGCGGAGGAAGGGGCGGCGGGGTGTCTTCTCGAGAAATCGTGGACAATGCACTTGTTGATTTTCTACGGGAAAGACTCTTCATTATACCGATGGTTGGATTAGTGAACTCCTGCTGTTCGCCATGATTGCTGCTCTTCGTCGACGACAGCCGCGGAGTCGAGACAGCGCTGCCCTCGGGAGCTGCATCCGAGGGCGCGTGTTCGACATTCCCAGTCTCGTCCATGTGTCTACAATGTAAGGAGCATTACAACCAATCCTGGAGTTAATGGGGTATGGTAGAAGAGTGGTGGTGCTATGAGTGTGCCATGATAAGTGAGCAACGTGGTGGAAGGTGAATGCAAGCGAGACTTGTCCCAGTGACGTTTATGTTTATCGCGTTCTAGTAATCGCATGTGCACGGACCGCAGTAACCCTGGTCCTCGGATACCACGACGAACACCCATCTCGTTCTATCTACTATCGCACTGTCCGTGAAACACATAACTAGAAAGTTACATATAAACTGGTCTCGAGCACATTTCGACCAATGAGCAATTGCTTTGTGCTTCGCAGATTTATTGGTCGGATGGCACCTATACTATTGATAGACCATCTCAAGTTGTGTAAAAGCATTCCTCTAATCCTTTCAATCAACGTTCGCATTTAAGAACTCCTCTGTATGAGCCTACTATAATGATTCCCTCCCCTATATACTAAAATCTGCAATTTACCCTCTCCTTGGCAAAATACCCCTAGACTCCAACTCCTCAAACACTTCCTCCAAACTCTCCCACGTGTCCCTATATCCCTGAAACCCCATCTTCCTAGCCTTACTCATACTTAGTACAATATTGTAGTTCCTCCCTAGTACGAAATTCAGAAACCCCCACGTCGCTTGTTCAAAGACATCTTTCTGAAGGCCTTCGCGTTCTGCAATTTTTTCCCATGCCTGCTTGACTTTGGCATCCTGGCTCCATTTGATCAGGTCGATCTGCTTTTCGACTTTGCTCTGTAAAGTGATGGGATGGTTGACAAGACCTAACTCGGATGCGAAATCCACGATGGGCGGGTTTTGACTGAGAGGGGTAGATTCAACAGCGGAGCTGGAGCTCAAATAATTTGTGAGTTGGCGCCAGGAACTCGTCTGGTAGAATTGATCGGGTTGGACCTTGAGGCCATAGTAATCAGCTAGCTGAGGCCACAGTTTCTGCCAGCTTTCCACGTCGCCATTCGCTACATTGAAGGCCTGATTTGCTGCTCTTGGTTCCAGCGCAGCCCAGGCACAGAAACTGGCGTGCAATTTGCTGCTAGTGAAACAATCGAATTTGGTGTAAAATGAAGGTGAGCCGGGGAACACCAGGTCCTGGCCGAGTTCCTTGGTGACGGTCGCGTAGAGACCCAGAGCGAGACTGAGGTTCATGAAGTTGCCCACTGCGTACCCAATCACATCATTGGGATATGTAACAACCCATTCTTTTTGGTGTTTGTGGCAGAAATCATGCAGAATGTTCTGTTGGTTGTAGTAAAAATTCGGAGGTCGATCAGAGCCATTGATCCAGGGGGTGGATTCCACCATTGGATTCTTGGGAGCTCCCAGATGAACGCCATATTGCTTTGCCCCAGTGACGAGAATGATTCGTTTGATGTCGTTCATGGCACCCGTCTTGGCCAAGGCCTCTAGGAAGTTGTGCAGCATAGCCCCGTTTACATCCCAGTTCTCTTGCTCTGAGTCCTTCTGCAGATAGGCAGCGAAAAAGACATACTCGGCGCGCACATTTTTGAGTTCCTGAGCCATGTCTTCGGCCGATAAAGTTAAGTCGATATGGCTGTGGATGACATTTTCAGGGTAATCTTCTTTCTTGCTACGTGAAAGGGCGTGGACTGTCGGCCATTGTTGTGCGTGTCG